CTACAGTGCCCTTATCATCCACAGCTTTCTTCCAATCTTCTACCAGGGCAATTAGCGTTGTTTCGCAGCTGTGACCTTTTCGGTAGGCAGTCATGGTCTTACAGAGACGAGGCTCCATAAAGTTTGATACTTGATTGCTTATAAGCTGCTCAAAGACTTTGTCTATGGCACTCAACAATGTTATTGATTGATTAAGGTTGCTTTTGTGGTTATAATTATTGTAATTGTCGTTTGGGATTCAGAAGACCAGACAAAAAGACCAAAAAAAAGTGATCTTGTTAGATGATCTTGTTATTGCTAATAACTCCAAAAAAGGTGGAAAACAACGTAGCGTAGAGAGAGAGGGAGAGAGAGAAAAAAACCAGCGTAAAAAAAGCGAGCCCAGAGAATAAAAGGTTGAATTTGCACTTGTCTGTGGTTTCAAATAAGTTTAAAAAGTTGAAAAGATAATTTTCTTAAAGTAAAAATACGATTTCCAAGAGTTCATTTTAAAATGCAGTTTAATAAGAAAACATGAAAGCCCAAATTAATTGGATTAATAACTTCATTTTCGTGAAAAGAGAAGCAATATCGCGTAGTAGAAAGAAGTCGAAAAAAACTCGATTCTAATTAACACTATCGATCGAAATTCGACATGTTTTATATCGTTTCAACATATCAAAGGATAAATATCAACACACGGAATTTTTTTTCAAAAAGTCAAAATTTCCCCTCGATCGATTCATGAACAAATGCACGAATTAGAATATATATATTATTTTTGTTTCGTTGTTTGTTTGTTTACGGTTTATATTGCAATTGCTTCTTTGATTTTCATAATTCGCTTACATTTGACCACCTTATAAAACATTATATATATATATTTAAAATTTTAACAAAATAAGTTATCAATATATCAAAAAGGCTCATTAAGTACTTAATCATAAGTCATTATGACGTCACACAATAGAACCTTCTAGGGAATCGTACAAGTTTTTCAGCACGGACATGTACGTATTGAGAAAGTGGACCTACCCTTAGCTTGTTTCTGTATCTATGTAATTCCAAACCACATCCTTTATGAATTTTTCTGGTTGGTCGTTTTGTAGAAGGAGCTCCAATCCACGTTCGTGGCAGTCAGTGACATATGGGTCCGTGGAGAAGAAGAATGGCTCAGATTCTTCAAAGCAGTTGTTTGCATCTAATGGCGATTTTGAAGAACTGTAAATAAACCAATAAATATATGTAAAAAATTTTTTTATTTATTTGTATATTTTTTATTTGTAAATAAATATTTGTATTTATTTATGGTGACCAACACTTTTAACTAGCTTCTCTCTCTGCCCATTTTATGGTGACCCACCCTTTTTACTGGCTTCCAACCAGGACC